TACGTAACCTACCGTACGTAACGAACGAACGACGATACTCGCTACTATATATATATATATATATATATATATATATATATATGTATACGTCACGTGATTTCAATGCCTAATTATTGCCAAGACACCAACCTTACATCATCAACCGAGGCGGACAAGGTTTCTACTCAGCAAAGGCTGTTATTGTTGTTTGCTGTAATGCTTTCAGTATTTAATACATAAATTGTGCAAGAGTGTATATGCAAGTAATGAATGTATTATAATAAAGAGGTTGTCTGATTATTCTGTATCTGTATTACGTATTGAAATTCTACGATTTTTAGATAAAGATTTTTAGGTGAAATAAAATTATAAAGAAAAAAGAGTGTGTATATTTATCCTGTTTTGCTTGACAAAAACTTTAGTACTCGTTTAACTGAAATAAACAACGTCTTCTGTTAATCCTTGTACTTAACAGATATCCGATATGGTGTGAATGATCAAAAAATTTCAATTATACAAGTAATATATATTCTAAGATTTTGTCAGTATATTTATTTTAGATATTTTAAATTTTACCGTGAGTTTTGGGACATTCATGTTTCCCCTAAGCATTTCTGTAACTAACCCATAGGTTTCACGTAAGACAATGTCAACTCTCAACGTATGAACAAGCTTTTACGTGATTCTTTTTATAATGAATCCCCATTCAATACAATTGGCGAAAGCTTATATTTTACCAGTTGCCAGTTGTACGTGAATTATGAAATTTTTCAAAAAAAGAAAACAAACATGAACAGATTAATTTCAATCCTTGAACATCATGCCAGTGACTTAGATTGGTGTTCCATAATAACTATAATTTTGACTAAACAATATTTGAGAGTCACAATAAAACAATAAATTTAGTTCACAAAAGAAGAACGATACTAATAATAGTATAACAGAAAGTGTAAACATGCAAAAGGACTTTCTACTTACTGGTCGCCTCCTCTGTTACAGGATGGTAAGCAAGAAACTTCACACAATAATAACCAGGATAATTCTAAACAAAAACCAAAGGGTTGTATACAATCCTAACTTCCACACGAACTTTCCATAATGCCATGACATCAACATCACCATACAAACTCCATTAGCAAACCCGAATTTTCAGCGTCTCTATCCTGATACATGATCAGCTTGCCAGGCCTTCAACTGAGATCTGCTGTACTAGTAAACCAGTAAGCAGACTAGGCACCAGAACAGATTTCTAACTCCAATCTTTTGAATATGCAAATCAGCAACTTACGTGACAACCAAAGCAGATGTAAAGTCATTGTATAACGGCATGTATTAGACCTACATTTTGACATTGTTTCACGTTACGTATGTAGTGTGATGCTACTGAAAACTGATCGCTTTCGGAAAAGGTATGTAACAGCTCTTTTCAATGTAAAATATTCATACACTCGTATCATAAAGACTTGTTCATACTGGGGATTTATAATTCCCAAGATGGGAATGTTCCTTGTAGTTAATGGAATTGGAAAACACAGAAATATGGATCAATTTGGGGAAACAGAAACATCCAGAAAGAGACCTGCAACAAGTTATACCTCAGCCATGTAAGCAAAGAGCAGTATTGTAGCTAGGGGTTAAACTGGAGTGGAACAGTATTCTACCTCTAGAGGATTCAAAATATTAGCATTCTTGGTCTTCTCATTGGATCATACTGTGATTCACTCTGTTACTGCAAAGTGGATCACAAAAAAGAGTTCCACCTCTTTCAAAATCACAATTTAACCACTGCTTGTAATCAGTAAGATTCCATGAATACAAAGTTTATTGGCAAGAGGCATCAACGTGACCCATGCAACAGTATACAATATAATCAAGTAGAAACACCAGCTAGAAATCAGGCCAACAGGCTATGGGTTCATCAGGATAAAGCGTCCAGTCATTGCTCTCGTCCAACAATCGTATACCTCAAGCAGTTGAAGAATAAAATGAGTATTTATGCTATTTGATACAAAGACATACTGGACATTTCGCCAAATGCAGCGCCTATGGATTTATGTACTAAAAAACTATTGAAATAGTGACTGGAAAAACATCATCACCGTACAATAGAAGGGTTATGGAAAGCAAGCAGGGAAAAGTGATGTGCTTTGAAAATAACAGCCTTACGATAGAGCCCTTTGCAATGGAAACTACACTGCAGGGTTATTGTCAAGATGCCCAGTCATCACATAAAGCATGATCAGACATGGCGACATGGATTGTTACAATGTGTTAAGGCTCCAAACTATATATATAACGTATTCAATCCTCAATAGCTCAAGACTAGATACATCCTGTCTGTATAGATTTGATAATTTAATACAGAAATCTGTATTGATTTTTTACTTTACTTTTTATAATTGCACAAATAAAGTTATTCGGGTTGTTCATACTTTTCAATATAACACCCAAGAAATTTTAATCTATCACCCAACTTGATACAACAAGTAACACAAATTAAACCAATCATACTTTCAAAAATAGCTGACATTTATACATATTCTGGTAAAAATCATTAACTGAATTGCAAAAAAGCATAAAGCGTCCAATGGCTCATTGTTAAACTTGAGAGCTTATAATGCTAAGAATTAGGGTTCAATATTTGTGGTGGGTACAGCGCAGAAAGCCCAGTATGTAATAGGACAAAGCAAAGCAAAAAATAAAAAAAAACATGTTATGCTATATCAAACTAATAACACACATTATTTACAGGCAAGGACAAACGTCATCATTGTGCATTCTTCCCTTTTAAAATACATGCCTCTACTTTGACAACCTTTTTATGTATCGAGAATTACTCTAATCACAAGATAGATGGATATTAGATATTATACATGTTTGAAATATGTATATTCTTGTCACATATAGAAAATGCACATTTTAGGATACATATATCTAACATCGTCTAGTTCATTTTTCTCCCACTTAACATATAAACATTTCATAATTACATATAGTTGTAGAATTATTCTCACCAAAAGTGTGGTCCATTGGTCAACATGCCAAACCGTGGAGCTGAGATTCTATGTTTCACGTCCCATGGCTACCAAACAACAAACTATACCTTCTCCGTAGTCTATTACTTCAAGATTAAGTATGGCTAAGTAAACAGTCATCGTGTAGTTTTGTGTAAAATTTAACAAACCGACAAATCATTAATAGGTTACTGTTACTACTTGTAATTTACAACACTGCAGCAAGACCCTAAAATCTGGCTTATTTTTGGACTGACCTACACCAAGATAGATTAAACTAAATGTCGTTTTCCATGTCTACATATACGTACCATTTTTACAGATACAGTGAACCCTCTTTAGTCTGGATATCGACAATCCGGATGATTCTTTTCGTCTGGACAAAACTTCATAACAGGAAATTTAATCAATAATCTGCTATTTGCTTTTTCAAATCCAAACAGCTAATTCATATGGCTGCATGATACGGTAATCTATTCGCAGGAACGTCGAGAGCCAGCACAGGCACCGGGACAAATATCCTCGCCGGGCCACCTTTCTCTCTCTCTTATTTTAACATTTTCAAGAATTTATTAAAAAGATCCTAAATTAGGGCAGCAACGAGCTCATAAACCAGACAGAATCATAGCAGCAGCCGTTTTTACCTCACAGTATAAGTGTAAAAACGTTAATAAAGTAACAACAAATATCTATTCAATCTATAAAGTAACAAATACATATTAATTATCACTCAAATTATTATTTCAGTCAAGCGTCTATATGCAAAGAAAAGCCAAAAACTATGTTTTTTATCATTAAATGAAGATATAGCCTAAAGATGTTT